ATTATTATAATATTATTATAATATTCTTCTATAATATTATATTATTATAAATATATAATATAATAATAATAATATAATATTATGAAAGATTACGGCCAAGTGTTTAAAAAAAGACTGGTGGTGGATTAATTTTATTTTTTTAATGTCATTTCAGATCATCACATGAGCAGAGCCACACCGCCAAACTTAAATGCGCATTATAGTTGCAATAAATTGTTAAAACCTGTGACTGTGACTGAAATCCTCATCTTGCACTCTCTGTGTCCCACTAACATTTTTGTAACAAGTGGAAACTGTGTCATCAGCGCCACTTAAAGTTGCATCTATCTACGCCTCCTGCCTTGAGACTGGAATAGATTTTAATAAGAATCAGTAAGACATAATGGCTTTTACCTGGATTCACCTCATTAGGGTACGTCATTCAAAGTGTAAAAGACCCTGTTGTATTCAGCCCAGAGTTACTCACAGGGTCATATTACTCTGCTAAAATCAACCACCTAAGGCAACAGAACTGTTGCAGATGATGATAGAAATGTCCTGTTATATCTGGAATACGAGTGGGCTAATCGTGAGACACTGACAGACACATCCATATGCTGCATGGAGCCTGGATGGTGTGACTGTTGGTTGTCCCTGTGACCTTTCACCCTGGTTACAGCCTTCCTGTGGCAGGCTTGACCTTTGCAATGGCCCTGCTGCCGGAGTGATCTGCTGATGGCATTTATTGTCATGCCCCATTTCCACTCAGCCTGTCCACTTAGGGGTGATGGAATAGGATTTGAGAGATGACCCATGCTCCTGGGAGACTCCTGGGAGTCTGAATCATGGCTGCACACTCTGTCAGTGTAATGACAAACTCCGGCCTTTTAGACACTCAGCACTTAAAGCAGTAATGACAGATTTCTCACATCACCCAAACTCGCTGCTCACTTCCTGAACGTATGAAAAATGTACTTTTTCTGTTTTTTCCTAGTCTACATTCTTTTTATTCCTAAATCTGTCCCATTTCTCTGTCTTTTTACCTCTGTCTCTATTGTTTCTCTTTCTTCCCTTTGCCCATCTTCTGTCTTTGTCTCACACTGTCTATCTCAGCTTCTCTTTTTCTCTTTTTGTGAGGCTATCTTGTATTTTTGTGTAATTTTCCCCAGTGGCTCATCCAATGAAAGAGCTGCAGTGATGCTATCTGTGCTCCCAATGTGGCGTGGTGTGTGTTTGTGTGTGTGTGTGTGTGTGTGTGTGTGTGTGTGTGTGTGTGTGTGTGTTGTCTGTCAGACAGATTGCTCCTCATAAGACTGAGGCCCCCGGGCTAATGTCACAACAGTCCTCTCACACATTTCCTCAGTCAGTTGCATGCAGCACGATTGTGCGGTAAGCAGAGCCTGCAGTGCTACCAAGTCAATCCAGTTCGATCAAAGAATGAGCCTTATAGCAACTTGATTATAATATGTTATTACAGTAGGAATTTACAGCGAAACATGATGGACAATGAGCTAAATCAACTTCATGAACCTCTCAGAAAGAGGTCATCTTATGTCTGTGAGCCTGGTGTAAGGGATCCTACAGTGGTAAGAAAAATAGAATCACATACATTCATATAGTCTAATATAATATATATCTATAGTGCTTTTTTTGTGTGTGCTTGTTTTTCTTGCCTTCCTTATCATGTTAAAGTTGTTCACTGGGTTTCAAATGTACCTCCATATATCATAGTTAGGCATGCCATAAACCATTATGCAGTCAGTATGCTTTAAACAAAGTAATTCAGGTTGTTGAAACAACGTCTGAAACCCTCTCCCCTCACACCTTTCTGACGTCAGAAACTAACTTTGTCTGACAGTTTCTGTAACTTTATGAAACCAAACGTCTGACAAGCTTTGGCAATTTACCAAGGGTGGAAAAATGTGTCCATTATTTGATTAGTCGATTGACAGAAGTTTAATTCAAAACTATTTTAACAATCAATAAAAACAACATTTCATTTCATTTTTCCAAGCAAAAAATAACTTCTTCTCAGATGTGAGGAATTTAGTTTTATCCTTGGCATATATAATATAATAAAGTGAATTACATCTTTGGGTTTTGGACTGACCAAACAAGCATGGTGCATTTGTTCACTATTTTATGTCATTTTATAGCCAAAACCAATCAATTAATTGAGAAACAATCAGCAGATTAATTAGTTATCGTTGGTTACAGCCTTGTAGTCAGGATGTAAATACTCTCTCAAGGTCTTTTTTTTTTATCCTTCACTGGACTACTTCATTCATTTTTGAATGTACAAACATGAGTTCAACACTGTGAATGCTGTTAAAGTGAGTCTGTCTAAAAGTGTGCGCCATTATTCCTATTTTATCGTTTCTAGTCCTTTTCTATGACAGCAGGTTTTTGTCTGCCTTTGACTGGGGCCATTCAGAACAGCTGTAAACTCTTCTGTCTTCAGACGAGGTCAGACAACACGTCATTTGAACTAGTTCCTTTCAATCATACCCTACCATACACTTGTCAGTACTTTGTATTCATCCTCAATCTCTACACTTGATGATGCAAGCACGACCGAGCAGCTGAAAAAAACATCTCTATACTAGATGTGTTTTAATGGATAAGGCTTGATTTTTTCTATATTTTTCTTTTTGTTCACAAGTCCAACACAAAGACCAAAACTAACAATGCTTACTCAATCTCTTGATGTTTTGGGATTTTCCCAGCCTGTCTGTGGCACTCTGCCTCTATTGTTCCTACTCGCTTAAATCTTTGCAACAGGTTAGGAGTATATACTTTCATTTTCAAAAAAAGGCTAAAGCTATGCGTCATATCCTAAAAAAACAGCTGGGTTTAGCAAACGAGTATATACAGCAGCAGAAGAGTGTATGTGGGTTGACTCATAACAAACTACAGTGTGTGTTCAGCGTAATGAAGGAACATGTCAGCCAGCGGCCAGTGTGGGTCAGTGATGTGTTTTTAATAGTTTTTGGACAACAATGGAGGTCTGTGGCACAGAGGAATAAGCTATATCAGGCTTTGGCTACATAGGCAGTATTAATTATATAATTATATTCATTGTTGTTTTTAATCTTTTCATTGGATTTGATGAAGAAAATGTAGAATATCACTTAAATAAAGGAAAACTTAAAGCAGGTATAAGGTACTTTTATTTTGTGTATATTCTGGCGGCCCCTGCAGACAAAAGTGGTAGTGTTTCCCCTGCCCTATTTCATTGATTTTGAGGGGAAACCGATTGAATCCGACCTGGTGGCAGGCATTAAGAATAACTAGAAATAGCTAATCTTCTCTCTGATGGTCTTGTTTGTTTATGTAGGTCATATAGATGCATATATTGAAACCAGGAAAAAGAAACTCTCGAAATAGAATTTGAAAATAATTAGGCTTTCAAAGAATACAAAAACTAATGCTAGCCTTTTAAACAAGGAAAACACACATTAGACTTGTTGGAGAGATAAATTATTCTCGTCAGGCGAAGGGTTTAGAGTAGTGCTCTGAACCTACAAGACACAGACAACACTTACAAGTCTAATGGTACATAAACATGTAAAAATCCATGTCCAGTACAGAGATAATGTTCAAAATCAGTGAAGTGGTCCTTTAAGTACTTTGCAATGCTAAAAGCTGTTCAAACCAAAATCCACCTGGACCGTGTTAAACAAGAGGCACTAGAGCTGCTTAATGTCCTGTTACTAATACAACTCATACAAAGGAGTTGAAGGAACAGGCATCAAGTAGTCATGGTTGGAAATTTACATCGATTTGTGCTCGTCTAAGAGCACCGCTCCGAAGGCTGAAGCACAAGATGTAGTGCTGCATGAATACCGCACCTTTGTTCAGCAGCATAATGTCCCACCATAATCACCATGACATATTAAACATAACCAGTTATGCTAATTAGGTAATTAATTGATCAGATTATTGCATTAATTTGTGTTAATGGATTACAGATCATAAATGCATTAATGTGCCATGGCGGTAACATACAAAAGCAGCTATGGGTGATGTATGTGAGTGTCGGTGTATTTCTCATGAATAACTGACAAATGATTTTACACATGAAGATCAGTTAATCCCTCGTTGGTAAAGACAGCCTGTGAAATGTTATGCTTTGAAACCAACAGTTGTCGTCTGTGGCTCTTGGGGAGCCTTTTTAAAGCTGCAATAGGTCATTTTTATTAAAATATTTTTTTGTCATATTTGCTGAAACTTTCACTATATTCTGACAATAGTACATCAGACAGATCATCTTTGAAAAACTTTGGTTCCTCTGGCTCATTCTATCGCTCCTAATGGCATTCGCAAGAATCCACAGGGCCTGAACAAAAACAACCAGTCAGAGCCAAGAAAGATAGTTAATTGTTGAGTCTCATTCCCAGGGCATCACATACAGACGCTTTGAGACCCTGGGAGTGAGATGCAACAATCAATCAATCTTTAACTATCTTCAAAGTGTCTTTATATATCTCTTGGCTTTTGTTTTCATCCAGGACCAGTTAATTATTGCAAATGATGAAATAATCAGCAGATTATCTGTCTCGTGTACTTCTGTCAGAATATAGTGAATATTCCAGCAAATATTGCAAGAAGTTTTTATAACTTTACCTTGCCTTGAGTACACAAAGTCTCATTGTTTTGCATGATCTTGTTTTCTTGATTTTGTTTCATTTCATCCACTCAACCTGACAATGTGTTGTTTGATTTGAGACCTATTTTCATCGCTGCTGAGACCTGTGACGTGGGCAGTGTTTCTGAGGTCTGGGACCAGGCTACATTTTGCATTGCTATTCAAAAACTGAAACAGGAAGATAATAATATCTATGAGTCACCAACCCTCATGAAATCTTTGTTGTGTTTTGAGTCAAGGATCTGGTCGCATCTCTTGAGAATTAGTCATTCATTGTAAACAGCCAATCCCTGAGTATCTGAGTTCAGTGTGAAAATAAAGGCAGATTAAGCCTTTCTTGCTCCACAGTGTCTGTTAGTGTTACTGCTCTTACCTTCTTCAGCCGTCCACTCCTGGTCCCCAAGAAGACCACACTGTGTCCATTGTAGACGTAGGAGGTGACAGAGGTCAGCCTGTCCCTGCTTTCAGTGTACACCGTCTGACCCGACACCAGCTGCGAACCCCCCAGGGGCTGGTTTATATCCAGGCCACAGAAGTGATCATCGATGGGAACAGGCTGCATGGAAAAGGGGCAGGATGGAAAGATGGAGGTTGGGATGGAGAAGAAGAAGAAGAAGAAGAAGGCATTAAGAGTGTGAAGGCAGAGGGGTGTTTATTTTTTTTTAAGGTGTGGGGAGGAAAACATGGGAAGATGTTAAAGAAGGGAGGGATAGAAAAGGGGAGAGAGTGAAAGAAAGGAGGAGTGAGGATGACAGATATAAGGAGGGGAGGTGGAGGTAATGAGGGAGAGGGAAGAGCATAAGTGGGAGCCAGAAAAATGACTGAGATCACTGTAGACACATGCGAGTATAAGAGGAGAACTCAAACTGACTTCTGGTAACCGTAACGTGCATAAAGTGCACAATTTCCAGGGTTAAAAATGGATATTTCAAAAGGGTTTGGGCTGCTGTGTTTATCAACAAGGCTCGGAGCGGGCGGATTTGCGGGGAAGACTAATTGCTGATGGCAAAGACCAGAAACGCTGTGTATTTTGCGCCTGTTTCTGTGATTTTTTAGATCGCTTGATCTGACATCATACAAACACACAGCACAAGAGATGTCAGGTTTTGATTAAGCATCAAAGAGAGCAGCATGCTAAGCAGTCCTGTTACATCTACTAACATGCACCTCAAAACCTCTGCTAATTGCCTGTCACTCAGTGTATAAATCTACCTTTTTAGGGCAGCTAATTTCTTACTTCACATCCAGTACTTCTTGCGCATATTAGTCCTCACTGTGCTTTTTCTTTCATCAAGCAATGTGCCTGAGCTTTACTGAATGTGATCAGTCAGAGGAACTTCATATCTCACCCCAACATGCTCTAAAATTAGCTATTTTCTTTCTAGCTAGTATGTGAGCATTCATCTATTTTCTTTTTACCCTAAATATTGTACATGTGTGATTTTTTTCCTCATTTGAATATTTGTTTTAAAAGCTGAATTCCTTTGTATGAAATTCTGCATTCATTTTTAATGTCATACCTGTTACCCTTAGAAAGGAGCATCAGACAATATAATGGATTTTGGACAGACAATAACATTTATAATTTCAGGTGAAATATCTCAGCTATTGGATGGATTGCCATGAAATTTGGTATTGATGTTCATGTTGTCTCAGATTGAATTGCAATTACGACCAAATACCCTCAGAACTAATGACATTACGATCAGCCTCAGGTGTAGGGCAAATTATCAAATGTTAGCATGGTAACACTGTAAACTAAGATGCTGAACATTGTAAACATTATCAGCATGTTAGCATTTGTGCATGCATATTAGTGTGCTGAATTTAGCATTAAGCTTAAAGCACACCTTTGACTATGCCTCACAGAGTTGGTAGTGTGGCTGTGGACTCTTTTGTCTTGTTACATTCTGTAACTTTAGTCTAACATTTACAATAACATGTGTCAGTAAACCCATATTGGACTTTTTAAGTAATTAATTAACTATTAACTACTATACATCAATAAAACAGGAAAGAAAATAACAGTATTGACCTTAAAAAAAAAAACATATCAGTGCATCTCTAGAAACACTAGGCTTTTGATCTTTCACTGAGGAATGAATCATATAACCAAAGAAACACAGTATCTGATGATATATTAACAAAGCTGAACCATTGCACTTCATTTATAGTCTATTTTAGATATAAAGCCCTTTAGTTAACTGCACAGTTAATTATTACATTATTATGCGTCTCTGTCCTCTCTCAGTTGCTTTTATGAATAACATTACATCTTATTTGTTTGATGGCATGGTAGAATCAAAGTACATGTTGGGAACCACCAGAGCAATTGATGTGATGAATATCATTGTTTTCATGGTTCGCTTTCAACTTGTTTCCATGAAAGCTACTCATTATGCAGAATTATAGCTTTCACAAAGGCACAGACTTGGACATTTACAAGAAAGCCCTTTTCTCAAGATCAAGAACAGGTCTCAGAGGGTTCAAATACTGCTGACAGCGACAAGAAGAAGGAAGGAGATGGGGAGAGCGAGAGGGAGAGAAAGGGGAGGGGAAGAAGGCGGGAGTCAGTGCCCAAACCCCTGAATGAAATCAAAGCTCCATACAAAACTCCTCTGATTAGCATTGTGGAATTAATCTCCTCCAGCTCTTCTGCTGGGATTCTGAATACCTGAATGGTGTCTTCGGCACAGCTCTGGCTGCCTGCCTATCAACTATTAGGCTGCAAACATGGTTGTGGAGAATCAAAGGGCCAACTTTCAATAAATCTATATCAGTGCTTCTCATCACCGTGTCAGTTTCATAGTTGGTTTGTGTGTTTATAGGAAGCAAAATCAGATGGTTTCTACAGTCTACCTACCGCCTTGGTGCACTGCACGTCCTTTCCCAGCAGCCAGTGCAGCTCCAGGTTTCCCTCTCCCTGGTAGCAGGACTGCAGCCGCTCCTTGATCCGTGTGTTAATGTCTTGGATGGTGAAGACACAGAGAGCGGAGTGATCTGGAGGGTCGTGGCACTGCTTCTGTCCCTTGGAGAACACAGCAAAGAGCACGTCCTCCTGCGCGCTGATGTTGAGCGACTTTGCCAGAACCCTGCCGGCCTTGGACAGGTAAGCTGCCTGCAGCAGACGGTACTCCTCGCCTCTGTGCACGCACCCCACGGGAAGTGACACATATGAGTGGAACTTCTTGTCACCTTTGCAGAGGCGGATGATGCGAGAGGTGTAAAACAGGTCGCCAGGAGAGCTGCCAGCGGGCATCCCATTCTCAGGCGTCTCCGGCTGGACAGTCATGAAGTAGACGAAGCTGCCACTAGCAAAGCCATAGATGTAGTAGATGTCAAAGTGTGGGACAAGAGCCAGTGTGTCTGAGGGGATTTTAATGAGGGAGGAAACAAAGTCAGTGTGAAGCTCGTAGTCTAGCATGGCAGAGGATTCTGGGTCGCGAGGCAGCTTGCGGCTGGAGATAGTAGGGAAGTAATCCTGTTTGCCACCAACAGCCGTGCCGATGTACAGAGTCGCATCCTGACCCTGCGAGGGCACAACAACCCCGTACATCGTCCCTGTCTGGTTGTCACTGGACAGGTAATGTTCTTTCTTATGCGTGGGCTCTACCAGGATGAACAAGTCATCCAGCCTCATCAGCTTGCATACTCCCTGGTAGAGACTGCCACAGGCCAGCAGCCGGTTATGAGAGTAGTCAATGAGCAACAGTTTGTTAACGTTGTCAGTCGAGGCAAGAGGCTCAGAACAGGGCTGGACAATCAGTGGAGGATAACATGCTTTGTTGTCATACTCTGGGCCTGTATCATGGGACACCAGGAGGGTGAGATTAGCTGACAACTTGTAGATTCGGTTGACAGCTCCAATGTATAGAGCCCCAGTAGACTGATGCACAGTCAGGTGGTTCAGCGACCACTCCTTCCTCTCTGATTGGAAGGTGTTCAGAGTCTGTCCAACAGTCGTCTTTTGATTCACAGAGATTAGAGTCAATAGCCACAGTGCCAGGGGCCATGACATGACCTTAAGAGGACAGTGACCTTTCCTGAGGCCGCAGTAAGTCCATCCTTTATCCAAGCACGTTCCCATCCCCACAGGGCTCCGAAAAATACCGAGATCAGATAAAACACCCGGGATCGTGTGTCAGCAAGGAGCAGGATTGCACTGAAAAAGCTGAGTTGAAGTGCGGTCTTGTAATCTTCACATATTTCTGAAAAAGAAAAGAGAGATATTTGTTTTAAACTCAAAAGATCCTTGATTCTTTCAAGAGTGAAAAACTGCTTTCCGAGTATCATTAGACATTTCATCTAAAAACCTAGAAATATATGTGCTTGTTTTCCCCTCTATCTCTGCTTAGTCAGACACATGAGACATCAAAGAAACAAGTAATCATTTGTTCAAACTGTCTCCCCATATTTACTAGCCCGAGAGATGGTCCAATATTCCCCCTATCAACAGGGGGGCTCATTATATTCGCCTCTCTGTAAGAGAGAAGTAACTGTGGCCTATTACATGAACAAAGCAGTGACACACTGAAGCTGTGCCTTCCCTCTGTTTGGGTGGCTAATTAAATGATCCAAATGTATTAATTATGCGTCCATATTTTGGGCTCCCTGTTTTCCTTTTTCCCCTCCGCCTTGTTCGTTTAAATGGTTGAATCCAGGAGGAATTAATCACTCTCCACTGCGGCCGACATTCCTAAATTAATCAGGCTTTTTCCAGGGATGGCAGGGAGTCATTAGAGATTCAGAGCTAGAGCCTGTTTAATTTCATTAGCATATTTTATGTAGATATTTCAGAGGGGACAAACAATGTCCCTCAAATACATGATGGACTGGAAGATGGATGAGTTAGACACATGACAAATGATGTTTGATGTTACCCCCAATCACAACTATACAATGTGATGTATGCTTTAGTTTGATGCAAGGTGTTTCTCATACAGATGCGACAACATAAGCTAATTTGGAACAAAAAAAAAAAAACTTTTTTTATTTCAAAATAAAGACAGATGTTTAGTGAAGGCAAAACAAGGATCGTAGATAGTGGTTTCACATGCGCCGTTACTTCATAGAAGTCCATTAATGGAGTAATAAAACTGCCTACATAGGAGGAAGGACCATAAATTAAGACACCTACATCACCCTTAATCCTGTCAGTGTACCACCAAAAGCTTCTGTAATCTGGCTCCCAAGGGCTGTTTCTACTCCCCTACCCTGCCCCCTCCCTGCCCTCTCCAGCACCACATCAGCACCCCCTTCACACTCTTCTAATAATACTTTTTTTTTTTTTTTTTATCATTCAACCCCTTCAGCAAAATGGGTCTAAATTTCCTCCAAAGCTATTCTGCCAAATGCTCGAAGGCTTTAGCTCAAAGGCAACTGTCTTTTTTGGCTGGAGCTAACGTAAACAGGGTGTTTTCTCAGTGAGACTTCCTGGTATAAGTAAAGGTTAAATGAAGACAGCCATGTCAGATCCTAATGTGGGGGTCATGATGGGGTAGGTGCTCTCCATTGGCTCACTAACAGGACGTCCGGCTGAGTTGAGCGGGAGCCAGGGATGGAGCGGATGGACTGACACTGAGCTGGCTGGGTCAACTCCAGCTCCACTCCAGAATCTCCTGTCCATCTGTCCCCACCACGCTCACACCAGGGGAGAAGTCACTCAAGTGTCTCGACCTACTCTGCTCAATTTGGCAGGCTCTGTGTGAGCTACTCCACCAGTAATTGGCCACCAAAGAGTAACATCTGTCACATACTGTATTGCTGAATTTAAATCTGAAGCCCAATGTTTGTTTGTGTTTCTTTCTTCATAACACATGACATTTACTCAAACCTGTATGAATCAACCACAGTCATATTCTGCACATCTCTATTTTTATCTTTCTCTACTTTAAATGTTAGATGACAAAAGCATCTTCTTTTCTGTCCTGGACACAAAAACTCTGTTTTCTTTTATTAGTTCTCAGAAAGCTGAGATTTGGCAGGACATGTTGGCTCTAATATTTACAGCTTTTTTTATTTTAGGCAAAATGGTGTCCAGCAAATTCCTTCTGAAAATCCCTCAAATCATCTGCTTTGCAAGCTGATGAGTCCCTGAACCAGTTTCTGTGTTCATGTAACCACAATTTTCTATCATTTGTCCGTGATGAAAAGAGTATTCAGGCATTCTTAAATGTTTCAGAGGAAGCAGTGACAATCCTTTTTTTTTTGGCAGCCTGTGGGTAAACTAAAATATAAACTCCTTGCAGCATTCGTGTGTTTGTTTTCAGTAAACCAAATTGTCTAAACCGCTGGTCAGCATAAACCTTTACTCCCTGAAGTGCAAACCTTTCTCTAAATCTTTCTTTTGCTTTTTGATGTGGGCTTTTCAGAGTGAAAGCGGATGCTGGAATGGGATGTAATGCATTAAAGAGCTGTTTGAAAGTGGGCGGGTTAGATCACAAAAATCTGACTCAATCCTTTGTGCGCGTTCTTGAGCTGCCACAAAAAGGAGCAGACAAGTGATTTTGTGTTTACCAATTCACCGAGAGCTGTCTCTACTTTGTGGCGTCCAACAGAATCCCATTACTTTGAATTTCTCTCGCTCAAATCACACTGCAAACTTCCAGGTGAAGACCTTTGCTGTCATTTGCATTGTAATATTGTCAGAAGCGCTTTTCTTTTCTCAACTAGAAATAATTAATATAAAGCGCTCTTGAGGTCCGACTGTAAATAGCAGACCAAATGATATTTGCGAAGCCAGGTTTAAGTCTGGTATGACCTTTAACAACAGACACCAGCAGTGCCATCCAGAGGTTAATTCAGTTTTGCGTCTTCAGTCAAACCCTCGGAGGAATTAAAAAAAAGCAGGGGGAGAAACAAGGAGAGAAAATAGGAAGTGCTGGTGGCAAACGAAGCCGGGCAAGCATGCAGGCAAGCAGCAGCCTCATCGTTTCATCCATTTCTGTTCTGCCGGCTTTAGTCACGTCTAAGGCGTGCAGTCATGCTGCTCAGTGTTTACCCTGGATTATAGAGACAACTCTTTGCCCTGCGCAGTCCTCCCTGCTGAATTCTCTGCCTCGCCACTCAGACACGCTCCAGCCCAGACGTGACTCATTCACACTCACACACAGGAACATGGTTTGCTGAGGCCTCTGGGGACACAAGCTCTCAGCGGGCACCAATCACAGCGCAGAGGATGGAGAAGCCAGCCTCTTGTGCTCCGCAAACACGACCCTTTGACCTGGATCGAGATCAGTGGAACCATATCCATCCTCTGGGTTCAGCTTTTATTGGGGTGAAATGCTGTCATACCTTCTGTATCGCCCTGTTAGGGATGATTCATGGGACAGAAGGGATAGTTAGCTTTTTTCTGTCTCTTGTTTGTTTGACCCATCTGCCATCAGAGATGAACAAAAATGTTCATAGGGGATATTTCTTTGTTAGGCTGTCCATGTGCATCATTTTCACTGCTCATTCAACTTCGATAGAATGAAGCTGTGTTTTGTCACAAACTAACAAACAGGTTAGTTGGTTACACGTTTTTTTCGTGTTAAATTCACAAATTGTAGTAACTTAAGTAAAAATTTTAATTAGTGGTATGTGAAAAAACGTATACTGTAACTTGGGTTTTTTGGTGATTTTTCATTTGTAATGAACATTACTCATTTGTGGGTAAAGGGCCTAATAGGTTTTATAAAAACCCAGGTAAAACTCAGTAAATAATGTAAAAAAAAGTCTTAATCTTATTATTTTATAAGTATTATAAGTATGTGAGTAAGTATTCACATTTTGAAGATGTTACATTTTCAAACACCAGCAATGAGATGACACAACATGATCTTTTCACTTGAAACAAAGACCCATTTAGCACAAACGGCGTACTGTTGAAGTTTATCTTGTTCATGTTTTGGATTATAGATTTATGTGAGATCGGGGACACCATCAACAGACTATGCCATCTAAAGGTCAGAAGAAACATCTCTGTTCTCACACTTAGTCAATAATGGGAGTCATTGTCACTCGCATCAGAGGTGATAAAAACATTTTTTTTTTGTTGTTGCTGTTGTTTTTTGTGGCCTAGATTTATATGACTGCACAAAAGCAATAACAGTATAAGACCATGGGGGCGGAAAAGTGTCTGAACTACAATAGTCATAACAGCTTCTGTCCTCATGATTACAAGCCGGCTGGGCAGAAGCATGCAGGTTTTTTTTGTGTCAGTAGGTTTTACAAGCTGGGGCTGCTGATCTAAGTTGAAAGTCAGTTTATGAAGTTCCTTCTTTGAGATCACTTCAGATTTTGTGAAGAAGTGTTGGCTGCAGCATTCCTGAATACATACTGGAAAATGTTTGCGCTTATAGTGTATAAAAACTCACATGATGGCCTGATGGGATACTTTTGTCTGGGGTTTTCAGCAGATGCACATGGACGAGTCATTGGGGGGGAGGGCCAGCGTTGTACACATTACACATGAATGAGCTGGGAGGGCGCCAGCCGCAACATAACTTGACTTCCAGATGAATAAATGAAGGCAATTAGTAGATCTGTTTACAATGTTGTGGAGACAGAAGTAGGTCAAACGTGGCATAGACAGGAGGGAGGAGGGAGCCAGCAAGCCAGAGCCAGGGGCTGTCGCTGGTACCTACAGTGATGAGTCGGGGAATTAGGACATGAAAATGCCGTCTTTATTAACGATGACTTATAAATGAATGTCATACTGAATCACAAGGGACCCGTGGGGTTTTATTAGGAAAAGCAATGTTTTGTGATCAGTCCACCGTGTTTCATCTTTGGTTGCGTTGTGGAGGGGCAGCCCAGGGCGATTGGCTACGCCTTATAAGGCCCCCTTCACAGAAACACAGACTCAGAGGGCATAATGCGTAGCGTGGATGCTCACACTGCAGATACCCACAGGATATCTCCACTTTGATGCCGCACAGTGAAATTTTGTGACAGTTGGCCTGTTGTTAATTTTCATCATTATGCTCTACAATGTAGATTCAAACAGCAGTGCTTCCCCCAGACATTTCTCTCAGTCAGGGGGAAACAAAAATTTAGATTAATGACACTAGCTCTTAGTGATGCTAGTATTCTCTGGAAACAAGTGTAAATTGCTTTAAATTCATTTAGTTTTGTTGGCAGCTCTTCTGGCGCGTCTGTGGCATGACTTTATATTAACAAAAACAAACCATAATTGCCTTTTTTCCGTGCTTGTTGTTTAGTTTAT